TCTCTCTCTCTCTCTCTCTCTCTCTCTCACACACACACACACACACACACACACACACACACACACACACACACACACACACACACACACACTGGTGCAAAGGGTGTGGCCTAAGCTCGAATAAGTGTTGCTTCGGCTGGTTAAAAAAGTGGGTTGGTGCCATGGATAACTGTCCATATGTTGCTCCAGGAGCCCTTTTGTACCCTCGTCCCCCTTGGAACCACTGCATATTGGTTCAGCCCCCCAAGAAAACCCATTGGATACTGTATGAATGATTTTTCCCTTCGTACCATGCCCAACTAGGTCCTTCGGAACCGGGTCGGGAGGGAGAAAGGGGCTTCACCTATTCCCAGTTCTGCCTGGGCCTGCACCTGATCCATGGGACTCTATGGACCGTCGCCACGGTCACTAGATGACGGCACCTCTTTTGGCCCCCCTGCCTGCTTTCCCTTCCGTAATAAAAGCGCGTCGAGTCTCTAGTTGAAGTCCTCTCACTTTGGGCATTCCGCCACCACTACCGCCTGGTCATGGTAGCATCATACCGTGATGTTACTCTGATAGACGGTCGTGGTACCGGAACCCTAAGGCTCTTGGCGCCTTGTGTCTGCTGCTCTGCTTGGTTATTGCCGAGTTCCCTTGCTTGCCGCTGCTTCCGTCTTGTTCTTTGTTGTCGCGGTTTGAACGCCGATGCTACCCTTTGCCTCTCTGGCCGACGGCCCGGCGCTCCGCCAACGCGGATAGTCGGAATTGCGTTGCGCACTCGCGCTTCTGCGCGCCCTAGCATGCTGCCATAGCCTAGCGCCTGGCGCCTTGGCCCGGTGCTCCGATGCGAGCAAGTATCGGGTGAGTCTTGGACGCACACAAGTGCGGCTCCTGCCCCACCGGCATCACGAACAAACGAGGATTCCGGCTCCTTCATTCGCGCCCGTTGTTGCGTCGTGGTACTCTCAGGAGGTGGTGATGGCGACTCCAGCGGTAATTCCGGACTGCTCCTTTCTTTGTCTGTTCCCTCCACCCACCCCCTACCCCCTCCATGTGCGTTGTAAAGCATCGCCCTGTTGTTACCCATCTAAAGGATGATTGATGCTCCGTCTTGATTGGGATTGAATGCACTTCTGCCACTTCGTCCATTGTCTCCTAGGGTATGGACTTGTCCTATACATGCCCTTGTCCCTTTCGGTACGTAATGAGGGATGTTTCGTTCTCTGAAGATCCAGCTGTTGTGGAGGCCGGTGAAAAGTAACTTAAGGGCTTGATCCACTACCTTCCTTTCATACGTCGGCAAGCATGAGCCGCTGGACCGAAATGGGACCTCCTTACTTCCTTAGTTCTCTTCTTCCCCTCCGCCCTCCTCCCTCTCTCCTTTATCTCGCTCTCCTGCTCCCCTCGGATGGAAGAAGTGCGCATGTATCCATCCTTTGTCGTTGCATGACTTAACGGCGCTCGCTGTTCGTATGTATTTCTGCTTGCATGCTCCTATTGTTTGGTGTTTGTGATGGTGTCCTCTCTTAGGAGCTACTTGCTGCATCACCGTTGTGATGGTACGAGGGCGTGAACTCCTTCACCGGGACGAAGACATGGACCTGATTATTGCCTTCCACCTCGTGGTGCTACTTGCCGTCGTGAGCTTCGCCTATTTTGCCCTGCTAGCGTTTCTTGACACACAGGCGATTGTGCAGTTCTCGGCGGTCTGCTGCAACTGTAGTACTCCTGTTTCGCCGGTCCTGAGATGGTGCAAGGCCTGAGGGATTGGTTCGGTCGTCTCTTTCTCTCCCTTCTCCGTACGGGTACGCGGTCCAGTGTACGCGCGTGTTCTGCGTACGTGTCGCGAGTATCTGCCATGGATTCCAATATGAGCTTCTGGAGATGGTTCCTTATGTGCCACCTCGCCTGCCTCCTGCTTCTCATCCCTCCATTCTATGCCGGCCTTTTCCTTCTTTACGCGCTTAACGGCCCGATGTGGTCATCTCTGCAATCCCCTGCTTGCCCTGCGTCTTTCACAGCTCTGCAGCCTCCCTTGGAGTTGGTTGTGCTATTGGGTGGCTTGACGACCTGCTGTTGTATACCGGCCACATGTATCATGGGATACTTACTCACACACCTGGCTCCGCCTTTCTGTATGGTCTCCGGACAGTCGGGGTTCGTAGTTTGGAGCAGATAAGCCTAGTATGATTGTCCAAAGGCTTTCGGAGATCTTGAGTGGCTGATGCGCCCTGTGTTCCGTACGAATGAGGGGAGTGGGCGGTGGGTAGCTTGGCGGGTCGACACTCCTGGAGCTTATCATGTTTACTGGAAACCGGTGGTGGTACGGATGCCTGTGGTGCGATGCTGTCCGGTGGCAGCAGGCGTATTGGTTGACAATAGTATTGTGCTTACTACTGCCTGAATGAACATCGTATTGCTATTAGCTGTTGGTATGATGGGAGGCGATCTGAATGTCTATTCTCAGTAAGTGGAGGTTCGTACAGCAGTGGGGTGCTGGTCAGGTGTCTGGTTGATGAGGACCGCCGGTTTGAGGTGATGATGGCCCGTTGTCAGTAATGGGGTACTCGAATCAGGAATCGCTTGCTCTCAAATCGCCCTGCACGCGTAAACGGAGCAAACATGCTATGCCTGTTGCTGCCATCCATCCGCAACCACTCGAGAGCGTCCCCTGTGGGAGTTACGGTTGGTGGACCCCGATGAGCGCGGTTTGGAATGGACCCATATTTTGGGATGACAGGCGGCTTTACCCGCAGCGTGGCTAAGATGCTGGGACCGTGCTCTTGGTATGGTGGGTGCAGCGTTAAGCGCATGGACAAGGGGACATTGGTTATCCGGTGATGTAGTTTGCGTGGCTATGGTGATTTGGCATTTACGACTGTGCGACGAGCGGGGATTGGACTTGGCATTTTCGGATTCGCGGAGGAGAAAGGGGTGGGCGCGATGGTAATCGCTACTTTGCTTACGGATAGTGGGATAGCAGGAGAAGTGGACTATGGCTCGACTGGTGATACGAGGAATTGGGTTCGCGTGGTTTCACTTCGAATGATCACTCCTAATATGATGGAGGATACTCGGTCTTGCCACGATGCCCTGAGGGCGAGGAATATTCGTATGGCCTCGGGTGGCGAATAAGGCGGTGGTTGTGTGAGGAAAATAAGGGTGATGATGTATTTGCAATCGTAACAATGTAATCGAGGTGTCGCTATCTTTGTGCACTTCTTTCCCATTTTTTTTCGTTTCCATTCTTCGCCATGCTCAGTGATGGAATGAGTAGATCTGTAGCGACACTCTCTATTTTCGGGTGCCTTGGCATCGGAGCCCGTGACTCTCTTTGAGACGGTTACGATTGCTCTGTGCTATTGACCTTCCCCTTCGTCCTGTGTGCTATTGCCAATGCATTTTTTGCCCGTAGGGGAGCATGTCAGCAGGAGTTCTGACTCTTATGCCTGTGGCTCGGCTAAAGGCGCCGAAGGCTGTTTGAGTGGTTATCAAACTATTGGAGTTCTTGTTGATGTTCCTACTTGGGAAATGTTTTCGCATCACTGTGCTGTTTTTTGTTGGTATTGGTTCCACTTCTTCTTAGACTTGCATTTTGCGTGCTGGTGAAGATTGTCTCTGCAATTAAGCTTGTCAATTCGTATTATGATGTGTGAGAAAGGCTAGATGCTTCCCTGGCCATCCTGCGGGATATCATATAGGCTGCCTCTACGAGGGATGCTTGTCACTTCTTTATTGCATGAATCTTTCGAAGCGTCGGCACAACCTCCTAATAGGCCTTGCTTGAACACCTCCATCCCTGGCTGGCATGGTACCAGACCCTGTGTTGAAGCCTTGAGTAGCTGTTCCTTCCCCGCTTGCCCGTTTGTCCTGCTCAAGACTTCGAACTGATTCCCCTCGTGTGACCTAAACAACTTGTCGGGCGCCCTGCTTCCACCCCTCTTCCACTTGGGGTTATCCAAAAACTGATCTACAGTCTTCTTCCGGTATACACCCCCTGACGACTTGAACTTTGGCTTCATTTGCCTATTGCCAGCTCACCGGCTGTTAAGTAAACGTATGGGTGAGGATTACCGCCCGCATATTGTTGCTTTCCCACATGCCTTCTTGACGCAACATGCCGTAATGTGTTTCCGGCGGTTTTGTATCGTGACTTAACACACACACACACACACACGTACCCTACACACACTCTCTTCGAGTTGTGTATAGCGAACACAACAAAACATACATACAACATAATCACTACCAT